ACTCGTAAGTATGTTCAACTATACGCTTTCGGTTTCTTGATTTGTTTTATATTGACCCGTCAAAAAGCAATTCAGTTTATATCAGTTATTGCGGATGGTTCCCGTTCGGTAGTGTTCTATGTGTAATTTCTGAAACTGGTATTGTCTATTACAATTCACAAGTTACTAGAAGAAGTTCTACAGCAAATTTGGGTATCTTCTGTACGATCACAATTCATCCGTTTCCAATGAGCAGATTTCGATTGGCACAATAACATAATAAAACGAACTATGTCTCTTTACGTCTACGATTCACCTTCACAATGTTCAAAGCTTGAAGTTTAAATGTACTTTAAGAACTAAACAGAACGATATGATTGCTGAAGGTGTGAAGGTAGCTTTAGAGATGGTCAGCTAATGTTAACAAGGCTTTAACCTGTTGTCACCCCGCACTAATAGAAGGTAGTGCTAAAAGCTTTACTGAGTTAATTAGAAGACTGTTAATGATAGTAAGAGAATGACAGGTTTTAAGACTAATCATATAACCATTATATCTATTCATTAAACCTACTTGGTCCTGTCTGATCTCTTCTCTCTTTCTATTTTAAGTCAATCCGTTGAAGAGGTTAAGTACCTATAATAAAACATGTTAACATTTTGATCGCATTGTTTAAAAAATCTGTTAACCCTATTAGTGTTCATTTAATATGTTTAAGAGTTGATTTCAAAGGGTTTTTGGTGACAACCTGTGATTTTTGTTATTTTAAAAGCTTTTAACATTACGTTTTAATTCTATTAACACCATATGTAATATGTTCAGGACTCTGTGTGTCTAGTTTGCTGTAAATTCATCACCTCAACGAAATCCGATTAAGGTAATTTAGTTAAATTGGCTAATTAAATGAATAATTGTAGACGTGATCTTTTACCCCCACTACACTCAATTGAACAATTTCTCCACGCAGTGATAAACAAACGGTAGGCTAGATTAAGAATAAATATTGATGATATATTAGACTTTATCAAGATATCCTGGCTCAAAAAACGAGGGCAACCTAAAGTTACCACAAATCAGGTATTGATATAGGATTTTCATTAAATGAATTATCAGCCTTAATCTGTGCAATTAGGCGACTCTTTATTTGTAGCATCGAGAAAAATATGGTTCTGAAGTTGACAAGGTGTTTACAGTACTTTGAAACCTATGGACAGTGTTATATGCGAAGACATTCCATGCATCATATAAGGTCAAATTACTTATTTAGGTTGTCATTTAAGATTGGCCTATTGTTTGTACACAGAATAAAACCTTATTTGAATTATTGTCTTTCTGAGCAAGATACAAGAATGAGTTTTATCATAGGTCATAGCATATCTTGAGGTATCAAACATGTCAACTTTTAAAAAAAATCAATGTAATGACATATTGAAAGCCATTTTCCGTTCGTAACATGATCGGAGGAACTTTTATTGACAAGGCGAGAACATTTAGACACATTTGTCAATAATTCTGTCATAGAACGTAGACTTGATTACATCAGTAATATTGTGGTAAGACTTTAAATAAATTATTGCGGGAATTGGTGCCATCTTGTCAACACGTTAAAAACCTGTTTTCTGCGTGGTCCTTATATAAAATATCAGTTTCAAGAAACTAAATTGTTGTCAAACACCAATTATTCTAAGCAATATATAATTTGAATATTCTGAACTTATTCTAAGGTAAAGGTCACTGTATTGTATCACTCAACAGAAAGAAGCTCTATAAATATACGGAAAACAATTCTTGAATCTCAGATTCTTAGTAAATTAATTCTAATGCTTTGCTTGAGAATACAGAGATGGTCCTGAAGCGTGTTCTGGTGGTTTTACTAAATAATGGGCGGGTTATTAAAACTGTGTGCATGTAATTTGAAATATCGGAATATTAGATGCCGGATATCACAGAGTAAACTGTAGTTTGAAATACATGTACTTGTCCTATAATTGGAAAGAATCAGTTTTTATTATTAGGGAGTATCATCTCATGCCTATATAGATGTCTGTAAACAATGTTAATTCCAGGAGCTACTGAATCACACTAAAGACAAATTCGACGCGAATTCTTATACAGGGAGGGAATTTCCACATCGTAATACTATTCGAGGTATTGTGCAAATTGGAAGACACTGTTTAATTCGGATGTCCATCATTTCCTGTGATAATACCTCTACAAATTCTACAATAAATAGAATAAAAACTTTCATTACCGGAAAATTCAATCGCCAGTGTTATGAAAATATATATGAATATTCGCGCAATAAAATCACTTTAGAGATAATTTATATATGATGTTGAAAATAATGATGTTCGAGTCGAGTTTCAGACAATCCATTATTTTCACATTGCGATTCTGATAAAAAGGTATAAAATCCGACATAGGCCTACAGGTAAACAGGAATTGTCTTTAAGTAATATAAAAACCCAATTCTCTATGAGAATTCCAGTAACTCTCTTTAATATGTGAGAAAGTATAGAAAATGAAGTGTTTAAGAGGTTTGAAGGTTGTTTTCTTAACAAAAGCTTATAAAAGAAATTCTATGTGCCTAGGGCAACATACATTGATTGGATTTTAAATGAAAATTTAAAATAGAAAGCTTCTCTAACTATACTTGAGTAGCTAATAGTAAATTATATTACATATTTCTAAATAAAAACCATAACTCCATCAGTTATTGATTATTTTCAATTGATTAAGATTTTTCTTACTTACAAGATTACAAGTTATGATAACAATAAACCTACACCCACAGCAGATTCGTGAATTGTATAGCCGCCACTAGGTCTATTTCACACAAAATGGAATTTTACGTATAAGGCCATTCAGTGTCTCCCAAAAACACAAGTTGTCAACTCTTTTCAGAAATGTCGGCGGATCTGAAACCTGCACACCCTGAATCATTTATAACATGAATTTAAGGGTTTACTTCTCTATCAATTTGATCCCTTCAAACAAATTATTACGGGAAAATGTTTGAATAACCAGACAGAAAACTAGTGGACCACAGCAATATATGCCCACCACGGCATGCGGATGGTAAAAACGAAACATCCATTTTAAGTTTCATCAAAATCGGTTGAAAACTAAGAGAGTAATAGCATATTCAAAATTTTTGGGGCAAGGGCAATAACTCTGCTTCTAACGGTCGAAAATAGCTCAAATTTGAACTTGATCTTTGTTTTAAGAATATTTCATTTGATTCCATCGAAAAATCTAGTTTTTAGAGCGTTTACAAGCAAATGTTGACGGACCGACGGACCTTTGTTTCATGAATATGTATGCACATACCGAATTTCATTTGATTCCTTCAAACACACTAGTTTTTAGAGTGTTTACGAGCAATCGATGTTGATAGAAGCACTTACTGTATAGAATTAAAGGGCGATAACTCCCTAAAACTGACGTAAGAGGCCTGAATCTTTGCGTTTACAAGCAAATGTTGACGGACGGACAGGGGGGCCGACAATATACGTCCACATAGAGAGATGTGGGCGTATAAAAATTAAGTAACAAATGTGCATGATAATTGAGTTCTGATAAATTCTGATAAAGTTCACAGTTGAGTTTTTTGTCGTATAGTGTCTTTATATAATTCGATATATCCACAAAACTTCGTAATTATCCCTAAATATGCAATTAACTATTGAAAAACGCTTAATATTAAGATTAACTATTAATATTAAGATTAAGCATTTTTAAATAATTACTTTTCCAATTTTCCTGATTTTACAGGGATTCTGATTACTTTTCGCCGTTTTTTACAAGATTCGTTGAATCACCAAAGTGGAAATTAAAGTTTTTAATTTAAATTACACGAACTATCACCTAATTTTCAATTTTAGTTCTTAGTTAAAAATTACAGTAATTATCACCTAATATTCACTTTATTGAAAATAATTATCACCTATAGGTGAAAAGTGAAGTTTTTAATTCTAAATTATTTTTCACCTTGGTGCATTTGTTTTTCTGTATATGCATTACTCTCATATTGTCCATTTGTTACAGCAACGGAAAAAGGTACAGGTCCGAATTGGGAGTAAGGTAATCCGAGCGAGAGGTATAGGGATAAATGAGGAAGTGGCGAAATATGGTCTGCACATATCGGGGAAGGCTTCGATGGAAAGTATCATTATAGCTTAGAAGTAGGGGAGATATGGCAATAAACCAAATAGTAAGTCTAGCTCACTGGTTGATGGACTGACCGAGTATTGAAACCATGAGTTGCGCCCCTTATTTTATTATTATTTATCTCTTTTCCAAACAAAAAACCAACAAATTAGTTCTTTTGTCTTCGGTTTATAATTTAGATAAAAAGGACAGGTTTAGAAAATATTGCATAATTCTTGAATCATCCACTACAAATCCGAGATATTTCAAGTTATCAGGGACAAATATAACTCCCCGGTTAGTACATCACTTCTACCATCCATACCAAAACCTGACAAGTCTGTTTTTGGTCTAGCGTAGGAGCATTTCGGACTTGATCAACAAGGTACTACCACATGTTTTCATGATTTAAATATCTTTGAATATCGGTGGTATAACCTGGGAAGACGTTTAATAATAACAACGAAGAACGACAGTCTATCGAAGTAAGAACTGACTTTCTTTCATCGTAATAATAGGTGGATTACAAATTTTCCTAGTCTTACAAATGGTAAGTCTAGCTCAATGGTTGATGAACTTTTGAGGGCATGAGTAGCACCCCTTATTTTATTATAATTTTTTTTTTTCAATCAAAAGTACTCAGCAAAATGAGTCCTTCTCGTTTTATTAGTCAGATAAACATTTTCCCTTGGAAAATTCCTCACGGCGAGCCATTCAGGATGCAGGATTTTAAATATCATACAAACCCTCTGCCTGTTTTATCCTACACCTAATTCCTGTGGTTTCTGTATAAGTGAACTGCATGAACCATAGACATCTGACAGAAAATTTGAATGGTGCAAATCGCTGCTATCAGTGTAGATACACTTAATATGTTCAGAAAATCTCTTTACAATTACTTTAATGCAACTTTTTCTTGGTAAATAATTTTTGATCATCTAATTAAAAGAAGGAGAGAAAAGAACCTCCCTGATAAGAGTCACTCTGTTTTACTTTTTTTAACAATTTAAGTAACAAAATAAAGCAATGTGAGAATAACAAAATTTACAGCTGCACAGTAAGATTAGAAAAATGACATGTCGTTCTTCTTTTGCAATTGTATACTAATGTAAACATAATTTTATTTCGGAAGAATACCTACATTTATGTGTCTCATATTTGTGCCCATAGAGATACCTAATTAAAAGAATATATATTCTGCAATTCCTTTGTCTTACTGTCTCCATTTTTAATATCACGCCCTACAGTATATGAACTTCATAATACATTTAATTTGTCAGTGTCAAAGCATCATTTACACTATAGGGAAATTCATGGTACTTAACAAGGGATTTCAAACAGGGATGTTCAGTTGTATGTCAGGGATTATTCAGGTTGATGGGCTAAAGTGTTTACAATTTAAGATTTAGCCTGTACATGGGATGATAAGATATGATTTCTATATTGAGCACTTAGTCCTGTCATCCAGAATTTTAATAACTGTTCTTCCCCTTTAGCACCCATAACTTGTAATAATTTCTCTGTATCTTCTTTAGATCTATTACCTCCAGCTTTGGTAAACTTGAATACTACTTTCACTTTGCTGAAATTACATAAACATTTTTCTCTTGTTACAAAAAAATGAAAATGAAATGAATGGAGTTTTACGTCATACTTTTCTGCACCATGAGGGCTAATGAAGACAGGCAAAACCATGCAGGATGAAATGAGGGAAATTTTGCCAGGACAATGGCATTAGTCTGCTCTTTTTTCGATTTCCAACTGTTGAGGGGTTTTTAACATGCACAGCCTGTAGCACACAGGGTCTTGGTCAATTATCCATTCAACAAGAAGCTTTTTCCATGTCAGCCCCTCTTACTTGCATCACTGACAGGTGGAAAGTGGTTGAAAAATAAAAATACAAAGGTATTATCTCGACCTATGTCTGGATTGAACCCAGGTTTGCGAGCAAGTGACTTATTCACCGAGCAAGTGACTTATTCAATGAGCAAGTGACTTATTCACCGAGCAAGTGACTTATTCAATGAGCAAGTGACTTATTCACCGAGCAAGTGACTTATTCACCGAGCAAGTGACTTATTCACCGCAGCTCAGTACGAGAGTTGGACACAATCTATATGAATTATTCTATTGCTACAGTAAATAAGGATGTTAACTCTCAACATACTTCATCCATTCTTCCTTTAAACAAATAAAACATTGTTCTAGTACACTATCACTCAGATTTTTATTCTGTATAGCAGCTACCATTTTATTTAACACTGTAGGTGCTGAAAATAGCAATATTTCAATAATGTAACTTTAAATATCACACAAATATGAATTATATATACTTTTAATCATTTGGGTATGAGAATATTCTGACATTTTGTAGCATGTTCAGTCTTTACCAGTAAGAATAAGCCTTGTGTAAGACCTCATATGGAAATGATACTTGCAATAAAAAAGGTTTCTCTAACCTCTTTCTTGAAGTGTAACAGGACTACTCATTTTAAAATCATAAGATCTAAAATAATCTTCAACATCAGAGTCTAGAGAATCAAACTGACTGCCATTTAAACTATCATCATATACAACTTCTAGCATTACAAACTTTTCTGATGCCATAACATGTATTGGAAGCTTCACATTGGATTCTAATCCCAGAAAGTTACATTTCCAGGATTCCTGATATTTATCAGAATAATATTCCACTCTACAACATCCTTTAGGTAGTAAAATCTACAATATATAAAACAATAGATCTTTTTGTACTATGTAGGAAATTTGAAAAATATATATATACGCATTAAACCTATACATTGTATATATCAATATGATATCATTTTCATTTTCAGAGCATAATACTTGTCCCTATCTAATCCATTTTGATATTAAAATTTGGCAGTTAAAAAAATCTGAAATGATATTCTGATCATACAAAAAAGTTGTATATAAATGATAAATATATGAAGGTGAGTATAGTCTTGTTGAAAAGGAACAAACATACCTTTAATGCATTAAGAATAGACACAACTAATTGTTTAACAGAACCCATAACAATAATCTGATTACCAATAACTACATGATGACATAAAATATGAAAATTGTGGATCCCTAAAATCTGAACAAAAAAAAATATATTTGTATTTTAAAATTCGCTGCATACTAAAAAACTTACAAAGGGAGACAAATCCTCTTCACTGTCAAGATTTCAAACAACAATCAGTTAACACAATTAATATTTTGCAGAGAGTCAAAAAACTAACAAAGATAAACATTTACATTCATATATTTAGATCATGTTTATCACAAAATGTACTTCACACAAAAACTTTCATCACATAAGTTTGACACTAACTATGTGCACAATAATTGTTCATTTCTTTTAGATCATGTATTGTAAATACAATAAATATGAATAATTTGAATGCTATATTCATTATATTTTCATTATATATAATATGTATAAGTAATACTTATCTACCTTATAAAGATGTCTAATATTAGTAACTAATGGTAAAGTAGGGTCTATTATATCTACATCAGATTCAGTATTAACTTGTAGACTATCACTACTAGTTTCATCTTCTACTTTAAATACTTTCATAAACCCTTCTTCAGTTTCTGTAATGGTCAAAATCATGTTAATAAAAACATAATCCAATATCGCCCCCATCTTAAGCAATATATTTGGGTTCACAAAATCCACATTTAATCATTTATATTTGATATCTCTCATAGTTTAGACAGTGATGCATCCTCATGTTTAGAAAAATAAAAGACTAAGAACAAACCTTCTATTTTCTCCATATCTATAATAGAATCTTCAGTAGGGGGTCCTTCTAGTATAGATTCTGTTATTCTATTACCACATGATTTTAATATCCATACAAATGCCAAGTGTAACAATACAAAAACATTTTTATCATTAGTTAATTCTATCAATGATCTGGCTGGTTTACAATTTACACGCTGCAGAAGGTTACCATGATGTGTAAATATTCGGTCACCTTGTGATTTCTTCCCTATTTCATTTTCATGTACAATTTCTGCTTTTTTCTGAAGATTGTTTACCACAGTTTGTAAATTTGGAACTAAAAATGGCCATGAATTCAATAAATATATTTTGTCCATCATGACAACGATAATACTATAAGATCTACGTAGCCCTCTAGCTTTACTGTCTTTTATATAAAATGTATAACTCAATACATGTCCATATTGATCATCTCCAAAAAATATTGGGCCCTCACGTCCAGGACAAACCTGAAATTTAAATTGGAATCTTTAAAGAATTACCATTTAATTTAATAAGCATCTCCTCTGCAGACATGACATACATTTTACCACAACTTTTTTTAAAAGAAACTTCATCAAAAAAATTTGTCTTTGACTTTGTCAAATGATTTACATTTTCCAAAAGAATCCAATATAAAAGAAAGAAATTATTAAAAAGTACTTACCTCACAACTTAGACTTCTAATACAAGCTTGTCGTATTCTACTGAACACTTGCGGATTATTAGGATGTTGAGTACTAACATAACTCACTTGACCACCTTCATCATAACTTACAAAACCTTTCTTTACAGAGTAACATCCCTACAAATAGATAGCACATCATCATAACTTACAAAACCTTTCTTTACAGAGTAACATCCCTACAAAAAGATAACACATCATCATAACTTACAAACCCTTTCTTTACAGAGTAACATCCCTACAAATAGATAACACACCATCATAACTTACAAACCCTTTCTTTACAGAGTAACATCCCTACAAATAGATAGCACATCATCATAACTTACAAAACCTTTCTTTACAGAGTAACATCCCTACAAATATATAGCATATCACCAAAACTGTTCATATATCAAAAGAAATGTTCTTTTCTTGTTGATAATGTAAGTTGCATGAATCAAACTTTTATAAAATAGAATGAAGTAAAGCCATTGAAACTAATTCAACCTGACATTGCATAATCTTCTCAAAAACTAATTTGCTATCAGATTCATCTCCACAAAGTGAACAGTTTAACCTTTAAGTAAGATATGTTTAAAACAGTTTAACATTAGTTGACATACATAAACACTGACATATTTTGTAGCTAAGTCTTGTAACATAATAGAAATAAAGTTATTTACCTCACAGATGTCATTTTTCATACTTGGTAGTGATGGTGTTCCTGTACCGGCACCAGTTTGAGTACTGACTGTATCAGAACATACAGAACTTACTGATGGTGATTTTACACGTTTAGTCTCACCTTCTTCTGACTCCAATAAACCCTTGGGTTCTTGAGGTCGGAAAGGTTGAGTACAATAAACAATTCTAGGTCCATGGATCTCACAAAAATGACAAAAACATACTACTGCATTCATTTTCAAGATCTTGGAGGATTGCTTGTTTTAAACTATAAAGAGAAACATGCACTGGTAATAAATAACTGATTGTTCAGTTGCAAGGAATTAACATCTTAAAGGTTTATTCCACTTTTTTGTAAAAAGTTTTCATTATCCAAAACATAAAATATAATATTTCTAAAGTAAGCTATTTGTCTATATCTTCTTGATCAAACTGTATTTGCTATAAAAGGCTTAATTGTGAATTGAGAAGTTTGGCCTAGTTTTCGTGTTTGGCTTTATATTATTAGTTGAGACCTTTAGTATACCTAGGAGACATGTATCTCTACAATAAGGCGTGTATTTTATTAAAATCTGTACAGTAGTTTTCTAAAAACTAAATGCATAATGAACTTAAAAACCTTACATAGTGTTTTAAATATTTTTGGCGTTCAAAACTTAACGATTTGATTTTTTACTTTAAACCTTCAGATATGTTTAACGGCACATTTCTCTAGATTTTAGTGTATAGTTTTGACTAATTTGAGCAAAAAATAAATTTTTGACCTACAGATAAAGAGGAATGTCCTTTTAAATTAAGGAGCAGGTAGGGCTAGATTTGACTACTCATTCACGTTTCTATGTTGACGAAGAATTGTCAAAATTTGCTTTGATCATCCACGTTGAAATACTTTCTCTTCAGAAATAGTAAGCTATCATCGTTTATGATTTAAACTATGAATCCTGTCTTGTATTTCATTCACATTGCCATTTGGGAAATCAAAAGCATAGCACAGTTAAAGGTATCAATATATGGAAAATTTCATATCCTAGCGTGTCATGTATTCTTTAGTGTGACATAAGAATCTACAAGAACAGACTGATATTCACAACTTCACATCATACTGATTTCACACACTGTATCACTAATTATAAAAATTCAATTGACACAAAAAATTCAGAGTACACTAGCAGCCATTCTTCTCAAAGTCATGTGACAATGATTTTTTGTTTACATTTTTCTAAATAACTTCCGGGTTCAAAATATCAAATTCTGATTGGATGATATAGAAAAATCAGCCAATAAATTCTGCTGACCTTATGAACTCTAGGTCAAGTTTGATTTGTTTCAAGATGGCGCATAATATTACTAGACTCGACAAATATTAGAATTATTGACCTGTAGGTAAATTAAATTGCATGAAATTGCAAGTTTTCCAGGAATGTGAAGGATGTGCTTAACCATCATTAGTAAGACAAAAGACAATTAGCAACATATTTACGCAATGACTTGATCTCAAGAGTATGATTTGTTCAACTTCACTTCAAGAGTTCAAGTACAGACTTGTAAAAAAAACTGACTCAGAATCTTTTTCTTTTACACAGTTCTTTGTGCAGATTGAGTCAAATTGTCATTTACTGAAAACGCATTTGGCGTGGGATTTAGGCTATATGGCAATTCTTTGAATAGATTGTTGGATGGGCTATGAATTGTTATTAGGCCTAATGATGTAAGATTTTATTCACTTTCTGTCTCAGACTACAGTACATTGAGCTCTGAATTGAATTTTTTCTCTCATTTCATGAATATTCAAAATAAAATTTTCAATTGTATTTTATTTGTCTTATAATGTCTTCAGGTCCATAGAAATATAAGGTTCAGTGTTTTTACATTTGAAATAGACACACTTCCCTCCCAGAAAACTTTTCAAACTAAAAATTTTCTCTGTAAACTCATGTTTACAAATACATATAATAACTTTTCCAGTGGTAACATTTTTATCAACCTAAAGACAATGTAAGACTCTCAGTAGCATTTTGTAGTTGATATTTCAGTTCATTCTGAAATGATTGGCAAAATCCAATTCAGAAATCATTGTAGTCAGAGTGTAGTCCACCTACCATACGACAAAGCTTACTTTCTTCATTCCTTTTAGTAAGGATAGCCTACGTAATTCTTCCCTTTTCAGGGTCAAATAAGTCTGTGACCACTGACCACTATGTCAAATCTCAAGTATCAAAAATTGATCTCATTTGTCATCATCATGTTTTGAAATATATGAAAGTAATTGGCTAACTCCACTGTTTTAAGGGTTGATGATATAAGCTAGTCAGAGATAAGTGTAAACTTATGTTGAAGTATCGTATTGGAGGTACTTCCTTCAGGGCAATGGCCTTCCAATTATATTAAGAGTCGGTCAGTTTTATTTTGTGTTATTTTTTAAACTGACGTGACCCTATTTTCATTTCTATGAAATAAATACAAAAATTGGCAAGAATCCAACTTGTGAATAATATGATGGTATGATTAAAGAAATAACTGGGTTTGTTTATATTTGTGTATAGTGATAGTTAAGTCAGTAGCTAAAGGTTAATTAATGTGAATTGACAGCTACAACATTGATTGGATTCTTATTACTTCAATTTAATATTGATTTTTGAAAATGGTGAGATCTTTTTAAATTAGATCAGATTATAATAGTTAATGATTATCAGTTAGAAAGCCTTAAGAATTTATTTACAGAATATTTTAATTTAAAAGTTATTTTAGGTAAGATTATAATACTTTATTGTATATTTCAGACATTATTAAAAGAACATGGTCACAAGTTTAAAGCTATCAAAATGGATGGTTCGAAGATGAAAGATTATAAAGAACAACAAGGATTGATAGAATATATTGAGAAACAAAGTCGATGTTTAGATGAACAAGAGATATCAATTTCTCCAGTTAAAATGGCTACAGCAACCAATCAGTATATTTCCTGTATAAAATTTAGTGGTATTCCTATATTACCACCTGTGGTAAGCCGGCCTATTAATATAATAGTAAAATTGTAAAAATATTCGAGCAAGTTTATATTCTGATATATTTCATTAAACCATTTGGTATTTATCAATATAGATATGATAATATTTATTAATAATATTGTAAAAAATCTTAAAAATTTTATGGGAAGTATGTTTATTTTAATCAATTGAATTACCAAATATCAAAGCTAAAATATAATTGTTATATTGGGACCAAGACTTGAAATAACTCCAAAATTGAGCTGGATACTCTGTAATATTTCTACTAATACAAGTAGCAGATTGACGAACAAATAATGTTATTAAAATTTTTTTTTCAAACAATATTTTATTCACTATTATATAGATATTCATAATGAAAAGGATTGGGGAACAGGCTTCGTACCCTCTCCATCCATGGTTAATGTAACTTTAAATAATATATAAAAGATGGCAACTGAATTAAAATACAAACGTATGTACAGTATATATACAACTTGCAACACACAATACCGAATATTTGAAATATGTTATTAAAAATGGGAAGTTTGTTGACAAGAACTTAGTAGGAAAATTTTTTTATGAAATGAACTAATTTAATCAGAATCTCTTCGAAAGTTCAAAAAAGGTATGAACAGTTTGGAAAATTTCAGTAGAGGTGTCAGGACAGTCCGTAACAAAAAGTAGTATAGAGATTTTGATATATGAAGATGGAAAAATATTATTAAGATGTATTTATATTTAGTTGTTCACCAATATGTGTCATGGGACATTATTAGTAACAATATTTAAATTACTTCAAGATTTGTCTTGTACTTTCAGATGACTGCTAAAAGGAAAGATGAGATGATGAGTTATAAGTATCAAGCTCAGATAGCCGAAAATAAAATAAAAAGTAGACAAAGAGACAAATTGATGGCCAGAGCTCATAGAGCTGTTAAAACTATACAGGTAAAATGTCTTGTTTTTAGTATTCCATTTTTTTTAATAAGTCTTTTTGGAAATTATGATGACATATTAACTTCCATCTCATATTATTCAAGTTGTTTTGTTTTTAATGAGAGTGCAAGTACTATTGTAAAATGAAGTCCCATTAATCAGAAATATTTTTTTTATCAGACAACAGAACCAAAAAAACAACATAATGATGGAGAAGAAAAAAACAAAAATCTGACTGCTGAGCTAGAGAGAGTTCAGTCCCTTGCTGAAACAGGCCAGTTTGAAGAGGCAATTCAATCTATAGATTCCCTTTCATCAGGATTAATGTCACTAGAAGATGGCTCTTTACCCAATGACTTTTATGGATTACCATGTACATCAGTTCATGAACAACAAATTTCACAAGTCTTACAAAAACTTTCTAAACAGTTAAATTTAAAGGATACTCTTAGTTCTACAGCTGGCAGTACTCTAGGAAGTGATGGTAATGTTGACACTCTCACAGAACAGAAAAACAACTTGAAAATTCCTGATGCAGTTTCAGAAGGTAGTTCTAATAGTTTCAGAGATAGTCAGGATACCATTGTTGAAGTTTTAAATACATCTAGAAAATCTAAACCACCTGCTATTAAGATAGAAGACAAACCAGAAAGTTCAGTGAAGGATTCTCCATCTTGTGGCTATGGAAGTGGTGATTCTTCAGCTGTTAGTTCAGCAAACACTTCAGCTTCCGAACGTATAAAAGGCAGTCCAAAATCTCTTAAAAACACTGTGCACTTCTCTGAATTTGTGAAAGTTTTAAAGACAAATCAATCAGTAGAGGATGAAATAACTGTGAAACGCCTGAAAGAAATGAATTCAAATTCAGAATCAACAGATAAGAAGTCTCCAGAGTTGAAAGGACCACAGAGTTTGCTTAGTAAGGTTAATCTTAGTCCAGAAAACGAGGCAACAACTCCTTCGCCAGATTCAATTCTAGAAGTACCTTTTCAACCAAAAGCAGATCCACCAAGAAAAACAAATGAATCTCTGCCGAGTAAAAATACATTACAGAAAGTTTTAGAAGACAAACCACCCAAGCCTGGTTATGTTTCTCCAAAAATTTCACCTAGTTGTGGATCAGACCCTGGTTCAAGATCATCCAAGAGTTCGACACCAGTTAGGCGTGCAGCTAGTTTGAAATTTAATAAACCCAGAAAGTCAGATACTTGTGAAAATAGTCACAGTTCTTCACTTCATTCTTCACCTCATAGTCAAACATCATCTTCAGATAACATGTCTAGTCAAACAGATACAAATTCTAGATTATCCAGTACTGGATTATCTCAATCAACAGGACGCTCGTCACAAACTGCTGATACCCAGAACTCTTCTCAACAAACACAGAGTCAGAATGATACACAGTCAACCTCACAGTTATCTACTACAAATTCATTTAGCACTCGTACCAGCCGTACCACAAATGAACAGTTGACTAGTGTCACAGATTCGCAAATTTCAGCAAGAACAGATTTTACTTTGGAAACGACAGATTCTGAAAGTACGATTAAAGCTGGTGTCGGCCATGTTGGTAGTAGTACAGGAAGTTCTAATTTATTACGCTATAAAAAGGCTATTGAAAACACTTTGGACAATTCTGATACCGGTACTGATGTTTCTAAATCTCAGTTGGAATCTGTTACGGAAAGTGCTGATTGTGAAGTTCTACAAAATAATTTGCCTGCTGATGCAAAGGGCAAAGGTCATGTCAGGCGTGGATCATACACTTTAGATAATCCCTCACCTGTTCTAATTCATGCTCAATCTAGAATAGATAAAGAGGGTGGTGGGACACTAGGAGTAGAAACGAGTATCTATGCACCAGTGATTGGCAATCCAGGAATTAATAAGCCGATACAACGTAAGCTAGATTATGATGAGGATCCAGATTTAGAGAATACCAGACCTGTCAGTCTTCCTATTCCTCCTGACCAGGAATCTGAAGGAAAAGAAGAGCATATTCATCGTTATCTAAATCATGTCCAACAACAAAATAAACAGCCATTAAAACAACAAGCACCTGTATTGACTAGCCAATCAGAATTAAGTGAATATTCTACATTAAACAGTATTAATATATTACACTCTCTAATAGAGGAAATCAATAATAAACCAGATATGTCTGAAGAAGAATTATTAAAATTACAAAAGGAGAGATTTCAAGCTATGCATCAAGGTTTATTAGAAAAACAGAGAAATGATTTAGAAGAACTATTTGTTATGCAGAGACGACAACAGATTAATTTACAGTCAGAGATTGACTGTCATAAAAAAGTTGTAGAGAAGCCTCATCCAGGAAGGAAATCGGTCCCATTTTATAGTTCACCAGATCCATATTGTGATGGAAGAGACAACAGAAACATATCTCTACAGTCTCACTCTAGTGTTCTGTATCCTACTAGGTCAAATAGACCTCGCGATAAATTGACACCTAAAAACCTAATGTTTCCTAAAACCTCTACACCAACACCCAAAGTTTATAAACCATTAGTAAGATCACCCGTCAAATCTGTTAATCCTGTCTACAGACCTAACTATCCAGTCAAGTTACCACCTGATGTAAGTAGAACAATTTTAATTAGTCTCATTTTGTATAATTTTATGACATTAGTTCAGCAATATTATTCATATTGGACACATTGTATCTTCCTATTGCTACCATTTGCATACCCAAAATTCCAAAAGAAATACAGTAATTGTGATATATCTGTCAAATAAGATTGTTAAATAAGTTTAATTGTTAAGTGGACAGATTCAACAATTTTTCAGTGATGATTTGGGTCTTATACATATGTAAATAATCTTTAGAAGTACTAGAAATTTACTAATACTACACTATTCCTTAAAATATACTTCAAAGTACAAATCTCACTCTTGTCTTTTCTATACATACAGAGTCTCAACTTTCAAAATTCTGGACACACATGGATTTGAAGGCTCAAATTTTGATTGTGAGTTGTGAACACTATTACTGAATAGCTTAGAGTGAAGTTTTCTGAGACTAAGACACGATTGATCAAAATGTAGCAAACCTGTCCCTTTTTAAAAGGCATTAAAATGATCTTATATGGTGTGATTTATTTTCAGATAAATGATATAGAGACACAATTGAAGTTTTTTAAAGTTACAGCATTAGCAAGAGGATTTTTAACCAGAAGGTTATTAAAATCTGAAAAAGTCCAAGAATTAATCAAAACCATTCGAGTGAGTCAACTTCGTATATCACATTTCCAAGAAAATGCAACTTCTCTAATCACAGACCTTTTTAAAGTATTTTAATGGTTATATAAGGTATATAAATTACAAACGTAAATTTTATACACATCTTGTCAATCATGTTTATTATATTTACAATTTACAGGATACTCGAGAGTTTGCATTTAGTTTTCAATCCGAAACCCCTATAAAGAGTGGTAGTTTTTCAAATCAAGATAGAAACTTATTAGAAAGAATTATTGCTCAGGTAAGTTATATTTCTATACATCTATTAGTTAACAAAGCATTAGTTTATTGTTTTATTTGAAAATGACAAATGATAATTCAACTAGTTTAGTTCTATTTAGTTTCTCATATCAGATGATGATCAAATTGTGTCCCTCAAGTACATTTTTCAGCAAGTTGACAGCACTGTTCAGTATTTGACAAGAAAGCATTTAACTATTACTATATTTCTAATTATAGTTACAAGCAGCATTATTAGATGTACATGAAATATTCTTTGTCCTACCAGTCTCAGATAGAATGGAACTTATCAGACAGACCAGACTTAAAGAACAAGAACGAAGATATCTAGGGGTAAATGAACGTATATTTCATGAGATATCTTCTTAGACTGTCAAGAAATGATATAGATGTTGATGAAATTTCCAATATTAAACATATTAGGGGAGTTGAGGAACATGATCTAAGTATATTAACTCACTGAACTCAGCAATATAAATACAAAGCCTCTAGACTCAATTCAAATTGCTGATTATTTCAAAACTGTAGATTTTTATCTTACAGGCATCATCTAACTCTACAATAAAAGATTCAGCAAGAAAAGTTAGTTCTGCTACATTGAAAGCTATAGAAAGAAAGAAAAAAGCACAGTATCCCTTTGCTGTTAAAAAAATTTGCTGCACCTCATTTTAATCCAGTAGTAACTATTCAACTGATAATCAGATAAGTTGACTGACATTTGGTATCTGTTAGCATGTAACCAAACATAATGACTTGTGTAAAGCTAACAAATCACTTTTGATAAAGCTAACATAATTACTTGTGTCGAAAGCTAACATAATCACTTGTAATAAAGCTAACAAATCACTTGTGATAAAGCTAACAAATCACTTATGTATAGAGCTAAAATAATCACTTGTGTCAAAAGCTAACACAATCACTTGTGTCTAAATCTAAAGCTAACATAATCACTTGTGATAAAGCTAACAAATCATGTGTATAAAGCTAACATAATTACTTGTGTCTAAAGCTTACATAATCACTTGTGTATAAATTTAAAACATAATCACTTGTGTATGAAACTAACAAATAACTTATGTATAAAGCTAACATAATCACTTTTGATAAAGCTAACATTTCACTTATTAATAAAGCTAACAGAATCACATGTGTATAACACTCATAAAAATAATATTGTGTACAGTTAAACAGATTTTTTAGCTGCCTGAATCAACATGATTTGAGTTCCTTAATCAGTGGTAGAGAAGAAGAATTACAAGCAGCACACCGCCCTAAAACAGCCCCACCTTCAACTAGTAGTCCTAGATCACATTCTACCAATTCAAGGTAAGACTTATGGGTCAACGTAATTTCTTTGTTCTCATGACACACCTTTTGAATGTGTAATCCTTATCAGGACAGCTGTTTTTGAGAATTTCCACTATTAGAGCTAATGAACATCAATTGATAATTCTCACATTTAACTTTGTATATATATTTATAGAGCATTAAAACCATTACAAAGTCAGATATCACCTATTAGAAAAGATGATATATCTCAACCAAACAATAGGTAGGTGCTAGCATTTCTAACATCTTTAAAAATCTTTTAGACACAATTATTTCTAATTAATTTATGTCTTGCTTTTGTCAAATTTTGAGATATTTTTAGATATTACCACATCTTAGTAGTGAACTATATTGGTGGTTTAATGAAGCCCTAGTCCCCAATATGGTGATCTGTAAGTCTGGCCAATGTCTATTTCAGTGTAAAAATATCCATTTAAAGAATTTGTTAAACGCCCACTTAGTAAAAATGTGTTAAGTTTGGCTTGTTTATTTGATAAAGGCTGCAATTTTTATCCAATCTTCATGAAACCTAGTATGCATGTATATATTGATGAGATCTCGGTCAAGTTCAAAATTGGTAATAATCGATTCAGAGTTATTATCCTTGACATAGTAAAAACGTGTTTAATTTGGCTTGGATGCAGGATAAAGGCTGCAATTTTTATCCGATCTTGATGAAACTTAATATGTATGTATATGGTCAAATGCTAAATATTCGATGATAATCGAATGAAAAGTTTCAGAGTTATTGCCCTTGACTTAGTAAAAACACATTAAATTTGGCTTGTGTTTGATCCGATCTTGATGAAGCTTAGTATGCTTGTAGATATTGATAAGACCGAATCAAGTTTGAAATTCGTAATATTGGGTAAACGGTTTCAGAATTATTGCCCTTGACTTAATAAAAATGTGTTAAATTTGCTTTGTTTGCCTGATGAGGTGTACAAATTTGATCCCATCTTGATGAAACTTAGTATGCATGTATATAATGATGAGATTTCAGTCACGGTCGAATTTGGTAAAAAATTAGGTGAACAATTTCAGGGTTATTGCCCTTGACTTAGTAAAAACACATCAAATTTGGCTGATACAAGGTACATTTATATCGGATCTCGTTGAAACTTGGTATGCATGTATATATGGACAAGAGCTCAGTCAAGTTCGAGTAACAATTGGATAAACTGTTTTGGAGTTATTGCCCTTGAATTAGTTCAATGTGTCTTAGTTGGCTTATAGGCCTGATAGACTACATTTTTTATCTGATCTGGTAGTGGGCGTATGTTACCTTGTCTGGCAAGCTATCTTTGAACGTTGAGAATTATTATTTAGGAAACAAAATGCAGATGATTTTTAATCATTAATTATATACCAGTTTGAAACTGTGGTAATTTGAGGTACATTTGTTTTATATCATATTGCTTTCATTTTCATCTTAACAGGACCAACAATAAAGTAAGACCAAAAACTGCTCCTGAGAAGCCAACACGAGAACAACTAGCTAGTAAAAACAGAAAGGTTAACAATGCTGCCCCAACTACTAATAAACCTAACAAAACACCTGCTTCTAATAATAAATCTGTAACTAAAGTCATACGCAAAGTCAGCTCGAAATCAGATAAATCATGGAGATAGAAATTGTTTAGAGACAGTTGAACATAATGTATTTATTGATGGCATGATCAAGTGATTATTAAGAGGCTACTAGTGCACATATAAAATTACACTTGCTGTCTTTATGTATATTCTACGGAAGCATATTAGGACCATTCGTTTTGTTTTTTTTTTTGAATTTTCAAGTTAGTATGTTGAATTTTCAAGTTAGTATGTTGAATTTACAAGTTAGTAACTCGAATTTTCAAGTTAGTTACTAACTTGAAAATTCAAGATACTAACTTGAAAATTCAACATACTACCTTGAAAATTCAAGATACTAACTTGAAAATTCAAGTTACTAACTTGAAAATTCATGTTACTAACTTGAAAATTCATGTTACTAACTTGAAAATTCATGTTACTAACTTGAAAATTCAACATAGTAACTTGAACATACTAACTTGAAAATTCAACATACTATCTTGAAAATTCAACATACTAACTTGAAAATTCAAAAAAAAACTAGAACCGTTATAACGATACCGAAGCAGTGCGCATCCAACCTGATACATCGATAAAACGTTGCATTTTAAAGTCACAATGGGATATCTTACCGGAAAGAAAAGCATGTAAACGTTTAATAGTAAAAAAAATCGTTTAAACCGTTTACCGTTCGGTAAAAAAGTGTTGAAAATTGCTGTTTTGGGACGTTTGTAAAAGCGAAAATATATGTCGGACATCAAAGATAAAAGTATGAATGGACATCGTAGATCAATAACCTTTGACCTTCTAAAGACCAAGATTATGCATGTAAATGGTTAAAATATCAAAATTTTATAAATTGTAAATCCTATTCCCTTTTTTAAAGTAAAAGGCCTAAACAAAATGTAACTCTATCAGATATTGTCCCAAATAGTGCTTTAATTTTTTGTAAAATTTCGATGGTGAAAAATGCAAACTTTTCGAGTTATAACAATTTGAATTATTTATGGTAAAGGTAAAAGTAACCCAGATTTGCCACGCTCACTGCAAAAATTTTGTGTTGTCTGTAATAATGTGTACAATGTCAAATTATGTTCAAAATTTCAAGTGATATTCGTAGTTAAAAGTTTTTTTTAAGGCAACGGTGACTGTCGGTGGATTATAGAAACCGTTAAAATTGCGCAAAGTTACTATAGAAGTTAATACAAAATTTTCAAATTCAATTTTAATCAAAATACCAAGTGTTATATATCATTTGAAAGAATAGATTGCGTGTAATAAGGACAAAAGATAAATTTTCGCTTATGTGAATTAGGTCACGTGATAGACCTTTTTTTAAGTTTCAATTGGCTGTAGAACTGGAAGTTAACGGAGCACGACAAAAGTGAAAATATTATCGGATATATCTCGTAATGGGCAAAAGGTCAACAAAGGTTTTTTTTTTTTTTTTTTTGAATTTTCAAGTTAGTATGTTGAATTTTCAAGTTAGTAACTTGAAAATTCAACATACTAACTTGGAAATTCAACATACTAACTTGAAAATTCAAAAAAAAAAAATGATTGGCCCTAATACGCTTCCGTAATATTCATACGGAAGCGTATTAGGGCCATTCTTTTTTTTTTTTTTTTTTTGTAATTTTGAAGTTAGTATGTGGAATTTTCAAGTTACTAACTTGAAAATTCAAGATACTAACTTGAAAATTCAAGTTACTAAATTCAAGATACTAACTTGAAAATTCAAGTTACTAAATTCAAGATACTAACTTGAAAATTCAAGATACTAACTTGAAAATTCAAGATACTAACTTGAAAATTCAACATACTAGCTTGAAAATTCAACATACTAACTTCAAAATTCAACATACTAAATTGAAAATTCAACATACTAGCTTGAAAATTCAACATACTAAATTCAACATACTAACTTGAAAATTCAACATACTAAATTCAACATACTAACTTGAAAATTCAACATACTAGCTTGAAAATTCAAGTTACTAACTTGAAAATTCAACATACAAACTTGAAAATTAAAAAAAAAAAAAATTGAATGGCCCTGATACGCTTCCGTATATTCATAACTATGATCATGAATATTTAATTTTCTCACAGATCATCAAAATATAAAGATTGTATATCATGTCCAAAAATGCCTCCCGTGGCAAGTGGTTGGTGAAATGAGAAACTTAAATAAGACTATCAAGGTATATATATTTAACAATTTTAATAAGAAGGAAGTTTTCTGTTAAATTATTTTTTCATAATTTATTATTGATTATTTATTGAAGGGTTTTTGTATTAAATACAATATTTCACTGTTTTATTGTGTTCTTTATCTATATTCCAATGTTTTATTAAATAATTAAATCAATTTCATCACTCCTGTCTATACACAAATCTTCAACAATTTGATATTTTAGAAATTGCCCTTTACTTTGTTAAATTTGTTATTGTCTTGTAGAGACTACAATTTATGTAATTTGAAAATTATGGAAATTTTAGTCCCATTTGCAGCATAACCGTCCTAGTCAGGATTTTTTTTACCCAAACAGGTGCAGTATGAGATGAGTTCTAGTGAGTCGAGGCCATCATACTAAAAATAATTCACACATACATGTAATAAATAATTTATTACAAAATGTACAATTATAAAACTGATATTAAAAATTCATATAACAGAAAAACTAATAATTATTAAAATCAACAATCCATAAAAAATGACACAATGAACCTTGAGAACAAATGCCAGGCCAATGGGGGTTGGAAGCACAATAAAATCACAAAATGTCTCATGATCACAATTTGCACATAACTACAGAATTTTTTCAGTTCATATTGTTGAAATTAATTCAGTTGGCATAAAAAGATGATGCATTGTTATCTAATGGCATGTCTTTAAAACTTTTCAGGATGGAAAGCTGATGTTAGGTTTGCCTTCAATTAAACAAAACCCTATATACCAGCCCCATAATCACTGATAATATGACATCAGGAGTAACTGAAGGCAAAACACTGTACATGATGTGTTCATAATTAAAGATTCTGTGGAAAGTTAAATTGGAAACAATTCACCTTCCAAACAGTTTTGTTCTGGTTAAATTGTTAAAAGCAGTAAACCTAGACATTTCACTTAAAAATAAATAAAATCATAACAAGTTACATTGCATAGTGTTTCCTGAGGCAATCTATATGATGCTAATACCCCATGAAGTAAAATATTTTAGTCAACAGAATCTAACTCTGAGTCTTGAGGCGTCACTAAAACATTAAAAACTTTAACTTCCACTAAATGATTGTA